TCCGGCCTGTGTCGTCACTCGTGCGCAGGCACGCCAGTTGGCGTTCGAGTCGGATATTTCGCTAGCTGATACAGTGTTTTGTGAGCCTTTTCAGACCGCTGATCCAACTCCAGGGAAGGAGCCAGCGTTGGTGGAGTGCGAAACCGAAACGTCCCCTTCCTCCCCACCACTGCCAGCTACAAGAGAACGCTTGGCTGTGGCTCAGAGAGAGGATCCAACCTTACGGGCCTGCTTCAGGAATGTGGTGAGTGACAGCAATACAGCAAGTGGTGAAAAAGTAGCGTTTTACCTAGAAAATGGTGTGTTAATGCGGAGATGGTCTTCAGGGGTACCTCCTGATGCAGATTGGCAAAGAGTGCATCAGATTGTAGTGCCTTCAGTTTACAGACAGCATGTCTTATCGGTCGCCCATGAAAGTAAATGGTCGGCCCACTTAGGAGTCACTAAGACTTACCAGTCAGTGTTGCGCCATTTCTTCTGGCCTGGGTTGAAGACCGATACAGCTACGTTTTGCCGTAGTTGTCATGTATGTCAGATGACCGGGAAGCCTAACCAAAAAGTTTCCCCCGTCCCTCTACATCCCATACCTGTGATTGAAGCACCTTTTGGCAGAGTGATTATCGACTGCGTAGGTCCTTTGCCACGCACTAAGAATGGCAACCAATACCTGTTCACGATGATGTGTGCCGCTACTCGCTTCCCTGAGGCTGTCCCACTCCGTAACATCACTGCAAAGAGCATAGTTAGGGCGCTAACTAAATTCTTTTCCACTTTCGGTTTACCCCGTGTAGTACAGTCGGACCAAGGCTCTAATTTCCAGCCCAGGCTGTTTAAACAGATACTAGGGACGCTCAATGTACGCCATGTTGTTTCGTCTGCATACCATCCTGAGTCACAGGGTGCGCTAGAACGGTGGCACCAGACGTTAAAGTCTATGCTTAAGAAACATTGTCATGACAATGGCACTGACTGGGACGAGAGCACTCCGTTCGTTTCGTTCGCTGCTCGCGACGCTGTACAGGAATCGCTAGGATTCAGCCCTGCCCAGCTGGTGTTTGGACATACTCTCCGTGGTCCTCTGCACACACTGCATGACCAGTTTCTGTCGTTGCAAGCCGTTCCTGCACAAAATGTGCTAGATTATGTTAGTCAGTTCCGTGAGCGACTGCACAGAGCTAATGCCCTCGCTAAGCACATGTTGACTGCCGCACAAACCGCTATGAAACGGAATTACGACCGTTCCGCTGTGGAACGTACCTTCAGTGTTGGAGACAAGGTCTTGGCACTACTGCCAGTACCAGGTACCACGTTGTCCGCCAAGTTCTCAGGGCCATATGAGGTTCACGAAAGGCTCAGTGACACTGACTATTTGCTAAGCACCCCTGATCGGCGTAGGAAAACACGTGTGTGCCACATCAACATGCTAAAACTTTATCATGCCAGGAATAAGGGCCCAGACTCCGAGGTTACTGCTAGGGGGTGCAGACCGCACTCCGTAATTGGCAAACCTCAGCTTGGAGTGGTAGCTTTAACTGTGTCTGACCCTATGCCGTTACCAGACGTCGACGATGTACGGCCGCGTTGTCCCGTCTATCCAGGTTCCCGTCTCACTAACTCGGAGGCGGTTGAGGCATTACCTACCTGCTTACCACATCTGTCCCATGCCCAAAGGCAGGACGTGATAGAGTTAATTACGCAGTTTCCAAGCTTGTTCAGTGACGTGCCAGGCAGAACTAACGTAGTAAAACATGATGTTGAACTAACAAACCCGCGTCCCATTAAGCAGCATCCGTACCGTGCAAATGTAATGAGGCGTGAAGTAATGAAAGGTGAGGTAGAGTACCTCCTTCAGCATGGCCTTGCCAAGCCTAGTTCCAGTCCATGGAGTTCTCCATGTCTTGTGGAAAAGAAGTCTGATGGTTCACCGAGATTTATCACAGACTTTAGAAAAGTTAATGCAGTCACTGTGCGTGATTCGTATCCCTTGCCGCGGATGGAAGATTGCGTTGATGCCCTCGGTACAGCCGTGTTTGTGAGCAAACTAGATCTCTTAAAAGGATACTGGCAAGTCCCTCTTACTGAGCGTGCATCTGAGATCTCAGCCTTTGTGACTCCAGATGACTTTTTACAGTACACTGTGATGGCCTTTGGGATGTGCAACGCTCCCGCTACCTTCCAGAGATTAATGAACACCGTGCTAGCCGGTGTTAGAAACTGTAATGCCTATATGGATGATCTCATTATCTACTCCAATACCTGGGAGAGTCACATGCTCACCCTCTCGGAAGTGTTTTCTCGCCTTGCCCACGCCAACCTTACCATTAACCTCGCTAAATGTGAGTTTGGGAAGGCCACTTTGACCTATCTAGGCCGTCAAGTTGGCCAAGGTCAAGTTCGTCCGGTGGAGGCAAAAGTAGAAGCTATTTCTTCAAGTCCAGTTCCAGCCACTCGTAAAGCGTTGCGCTCGTTTCTCGGTCTGGCTGGTTACTACAGAGCTTTTTGTAGAAACTTCTCATCTGTGGTCGAACCGTTGACCCGGTTGCTTAGCCCTAAAGTCGACTTTGTGTGGACCCCAGAGTGTCAAGTCGCGTTCGATAGTGCTAAGTCCCTCCTCTGCCACGCTCCGTCCTGCGGCCCCCGAGTTTCAAAGCCTTTTAAGCTAAGAAGTGGACGCAAGCGCTGTGGAAGCTGGTGCCGTGCTTCTGCAGGAAGATGTAGAGGGTATAGACCATCCTGTATGTTACTTCTCAAAGAAGTATAACCGCCATCAGCTTAACTATTCGACCATCGAAAAAGAGACCCTTGCTTTGTTGTTGGCCTTACAGCATTTTGAAGTCTATGTGGGTTCCAGCTCTCTGCCGGTGGTGGTTTACACGGACCATAACCCACTCGTGTTCTTGGCCCGGATGTACAACCATAACCAGAGACTCATGAGGTGGGCCTTAATGGCACAAGAATACAACCTGGAGATACGGCACAAGAAAGGTTCAGAGAACATTATTGCAGATGCCTTATCTAGACTGCACACCTAATACAGCAGCAATGTGTTTGAGTTTAAACTGTCAAACTGGGGAGTTTGTGTTTATGGGGGGGGGTGTTACGGCTGTCACCGTGGTCTGTATTTCTTTCCTGTCTGTACCAAGTAGGCTGTGCGGCCCTGTGGACTGAAGCCCCGCCTACTTCCTGGTTTCGGTGGAGCACCACAGGTTCACTCCAGCTCCACCCATTGGTCCACCCTGTCCCAGCGCGCCCAATGGCAGGACACCATCGCAGCCTTACCTCCAGCACTTAAGGAGAGCCCACGAGTGGCTCGAGGCAGCTTGTCTTGGCCAGTGGACTTGTATGCCTGTTGTGTTTGTGATTGAGTGCACCTACGTAGAGTACTGTGTTTTGGGTCTGTGTTTTTGCCAGCACGGAGCTGACAAGAGGGGGTGAGGTAGGGCCAGAGTTTACACTGATTTCACCACACGTAGTTCTTTGTTTGTTAGTATCATAGGTGTAGTGGGTGCTGTGCTCTTTGTGTTTTTTTCTGGTACGCGCCTACTGTTTGTGTTAACGTATATTCAGGCTTAGTCCTCCTTTTGGGGATCTCTTTTCTTTTACTTAGTTTGTCTTTCACAGCACCCTCATCCACCCTCCTTTTGTTTGTTGTCACGTGCCTGTTTTCCTCTGGTTGCAAATAAATCCTACCCTTTTACAACTGACCAGGCTCTGCCTATATGTTTATGGTCCCCGCACCCCTAGACCATCCAGGGGGTCGTAACAATATATACACACAAACACAAACATGTGTATTGATACGTTTTTGCGATGCTTGATACAGTTATTTACACATTACATCCACACCGTTAAAAAATTGCTTTACAGACGTGAAATCCGAAAATACACCTGGGATTAAGCAATCACGTTAATTAGCAACATCAGTATAAAGGGAGAATTGCAAAATTTGTGCGACCTCTGCTCAGTAGAAATACATTTCGAAAAGCTATAGAAAGGACAGAAAATTAGAAAGCACTGATGGACCCTCGCAAAGTCAACGAGTTGCTTGAGTTCAAGATCAACCACAACTATCCGACTGAGTTCAACCAGAATCAGCGATACGTTCTAAAAAGACGGGCAGAGAGTTACCAAGTGATAAGTAAGACAATCCACACGACCCTATGGTTTCCTAACGAATTTTTAAATGTATTTTTAATGTTTATGCAATATACATCCTTTGATGGGGAACTTTATTACCAGTGCCGCAGAAAAAAGGATGAGCAGCGTCATCATGTTGCCAAAGTCGTACTTACTCCACAAGAAGCGAACAACATCTTTGTCGAGTTTCATGCCAGCGATATTGGGGCTCATTGCGGTATTGAGAAAACCTTGGATGCAATCCTTCAAAAAGGTATTAGTGGCCTGGCATGAAGGCTGACATCCAAAAATGGGTAAGTATTTCTAGCTCCAAATTTCGTGGGTGCTTTTTGTAATATTTATATATTCAATATGAGTTTCATTGTTTCACTTTGTTAGATTGGCCAATGTGACGCTTGCCAAAAAAAGAGAACCTCTATAAAAGAGAAAATCCAGTACAAACCCATCGAGGTGAATAAACATTACATTGAACATGTTGTATGTAGTAGAGTATTGTTGGTATTAAGTGTTGGTTTGCATTCAAAGGTGACCGAGCCCTTTGAGCTTGTGGGAATGGACCTAGTTGGCAAGCTGAAATGCACCAACAATGGTTACATGTACATTTGTGTCATGGTGGACTACTTTACGAAGTGGATAGAAGTCTACCCGCTAAGAACGAAGGGAGCAGAAGAAGTCACACGCTGCATAATGGACTTCTTTTACAAGTATGGTGCCCCAAAACGCATCTTGACCGACCGTGGCAAAGAATTTGTCAACAAATTAAGTTAAATTCTGAATCCTAACATTTTGTTTTTGTCACATCAACAATGGAAAAAGCACCATGGTAATGAAATTGTTCCCCTTTATGCATATTCTAGATAAACACAGGGTTGTGTGAAAGCCTCTGTGCTCCCTACCACCCTCAAACCAATGGCTTGGTGGAAAAGCTAAACGGCACAATTCAAGGGTAAAAATATAAAATATATAAATAAATATAAAATATGTTTTTTCTACAAAATATATTCGAATTAAACCGCTTGTGATCAACCATAAATGTTGAATGAATTTTTCTTTTCGTTATTTCAGAGCTTTGAAGAAAATGGTGCAGGACCACCCAAGTGACTGGGACAAGTACATACAGCCAACTGTATTTGGACTCCGTACTAAAAAACAGTTGACAACCAAATACTCTCCTTATTTTTTATTGTATGGAAGGGAGGCCCGTTACCCATCTGAAATACCAGATAAGTGGCAGGTATGACGGCCTTTTAGCACTAAACTACAAGCTGGTAATGTATGTATATCTCCTCTGTAATGTTTAATTTTATTTTTTTCTTCACCGATGTTACAGATATCTGAGGAACGGGTCCACATCTATATGACCAATGAGGACGTCTGCACCCACACGAACGACCTCAAAGAGGTCTACAATAAAGTGGAGGCGAACATTGCTGAGACGCAGGAAAAGGTGCGAAAGAGAAAACTTGCAAAGGGGGATGATGACAGCTTCGCAGTGGGGGACAAAGTTTTGCGAAAGAATATTTGGGAAGAGCAAAGAAAAGGGGGTAAACTGGAAACCGACTTGTTGGGTCCATACATGGCAATCCATATAGATGGAAAAAGTGCTGACTTGACAACCCTACAAGGGAAAAATGTTTGCAAAGTGAACATTGACCATCTAAAGAGGTACGTGGAACCAGAAGTGCGGATCCCTGCGAAATGGATTGCTGCCACATCCACTTCTCCTCCAGCACTGCAGCCCAGCCCCGTACGGTGTTTGGGGGTTCCCCAATCCCCGCCTGTAGCCCCAAAATCAGACTCCTTAACATCCAGTCTCTCATCATGGCCTGCACCTGCCTCCCCAGAGGAATGCAAGTATAAACCTCAATACAGTTTCAATATAAGGACAGTTTGGTGATGTTTTGGAACTTGATAGGTCATCAAACCCCAAATGAGCCCTCGGTAAACAACTCTTTTCTAATCTCAGTGATCGCTGACATATGGGCGGGGCAACGTCAAGGTGTGCTGTGGAGCAAAGTGGGGCCATACAAGATTTTTGCCACGGACCTTCAAAATTTGGCCCCTGGGAGGCAGCTGGAGAGTGAGGTACAGTAAATGCATGATGTCTTTCATTTGTTATGGCATAAAAAGTAACAACCCACAACTGTCATTTAAGGTTTTAAATGCATTCATGCGTACGATTGTAATGCAGCAACAAAAAGAAACAGAAAGCCAATTCTTTCTGATTGACTCGTTCCAAATGACCGCAATGTGGCAAGGATCATTCAGAGGATTGAGAAAGGTAAAACCTTTTTGAAATCGGTTTAGACACGATTATGGATTCAAGCCGCATTGTCATTCAATATGCATGTTTTCAGCTTGACCCCGTGGCCTTCGACATCCTCATAGGACCAGTGTTCGACAAACAGCACTGGACACTTGTGGTAAGAATACATATACATTTTATAAAACTATGTGTAGCAGTGTTCAGAGTCTTGTGTGCTAATATAGATAACTGAATGTGATACTGAATCCTCTTTACTTTCATTTAAATGTATTGTGAAGGTAATGTATCCAAAGAAGAAGCGGGTGCTTTACCTTGATCCTTTAGGTGAAACTCCGGAACACCTAAATAAATGAAAGTATGTGACAAGGCAAGCTATAAATCGGGAGTTAAAATGTCACTTTCTTTGTTACAAAACTAAAATATATAGATATTTTTTTGTACTTAACAGAGCTTTCATGAGACTTCGAAATGTTCATATTTCTCGGTGGACTTGTGATAAAGTAAGCCATCCAAAACAACAGGACTCAACATCCTGTGGGGCACTTGTCTGCAAGGTAAGAGTGCAACTGACCTTTGTTGAATTCATATATATTATATATAGTGTGTGTGTGTGTGTGTGTGTGTGTGTGTGTGTGTGTGTGTGTGTGTGTGTGTGTACATATGTCTCTTCTGTAGTTTGCAGAGCTTATTCTCAGCGCTGCCTGATAGATTTCTCTACAGACGAGGCTTCCATCACTCTGTTGAGGCGAGAAATAGCATGCAGACTGGTCACTGACTCAGGTTGGTCGCTTTTTCTGTTTTATCATATGAATTTAGAGGTTATCGAGAAAGTCATCATACTTGTGTAATGTGCTAGAAAACCTGACGGAACTATGTAGAGCATGTGGGAATGCACAGCAAAGTCCAGGGAGAAATAAAGATGGGCATGATGACTGGGTAAGATTAAACTAACCGTTCTGTAATCTTACAAATAGAATATACTAATCTATGGCAATGCTTCTCAGATCCAGTGTACAACATGCGGGCTGTGGGTTCCACTGGCTCTGCATTGGAAAGCCGCCATTGGAGCAGGACTTCTGCTGTCCTGCATGTTATCTGTAATGGAGGAAGTATGTGGCTGAAGCTCTCTAACTCTATGCTACGTTTGTCTCTGCACTGCTGCTGACTTGTGTAGTGGGGAAAATGAACTACACCAATCTATATAAATAGAAGTCTAACATTGCATTACAAACAGGAAGATGAGTCATATTGTAAAATTAATTTGACATTAAAATAATTTTAATGCCACTGTCTGCTCGCCACCTATTGCATGCCAACCATCCTACTTCACAAGAGTCTTTGTGCTTTTTCTCTTCACAGGTTCTCGTGGTTCTATCTGGACCCTGGTCTTGCGTTCTTCGGTGGTTCATTTCAATTGAATGTTTCGTCTGTAGCTCTTGTAATTATTCTGTACACAAGACATCTATTGCACTTCTGTCCATCTTGGGAGAGGGATCCCTCCTCGTTTGCTCTCCCACAGGTTTCTCCCTCTTTTCTCCCTGTTAAAAGGGTTTTGGGGGAGTTTTTCCTGTTTCGATGTTCGGGTCCTGGGACAGAGGATGTCTTGTATATGTACAGATTGTAAAGCCCTCTTGCTAATATTTGATTTGGGGCCCGACAAAATAAATTTAATTGAATTACAATTCCTCCAGAGTTTTTCCTGGGTTCCTGATTGTCAGGCATTGTGAAGCTAATGTTTTATTTGTTTGCAAATCGTGAGCTATCATGAAATTACTTATAAGACGATTAAGGACTGAATGTTTCTACAGGAAATGTCTTCATGCAGTGTTTACAATCGCTGTAAATCATTACGTTCATTTTGTGGATAGAATATTGCTGATGTTCTATTCCTGTGGCTTAGTGTTAGCAATTAGTATTTTTACAGTACAATCGTCGCAAAAGTAAATTATTTTTGTTTCGTTAGTGCAAGGCTGCAGCCTCATGAAAAAGTATCGATACACATGTTTGGGAGTGTTCAACGATACGCCACCAAAAAACCAGTTGTCTTGGTTCACTCTGAACCAAAAGGTTTTCTAGCCACCGACGATGTACAATGTGATGAGAAGTACAGGAAACAGCGGCGACATCAGTGAGCTCGAGGGGCCGACGGCGTAACGCGTCCACCTTGTAGCGTTTTGTCATTTTGCTCGCGGGGGATCGAATCCAGGTTGCGGCGATCTTTTAATAAATCTATTTTCTTCAATGTATTTCTTCATACGTGGCAGTGACGTAGTGCTCACTTATACGACCGTAATCGCTGCAATTGATATGTGATGACTTTTGAACATTTTCAGCAATATGTTTGCGAATGTGTGACGAATCAGGTGACTGAGGCGGAAAACATCTGCCGCTGTAGAGGGAAACAAACAACGTAGACAAACCAGTAGGTTCAAAAACCAGTAGGCACGTAACACCGGGACCAGGTCGTAGGATCCAGGTAACAGCGGCAGGCTGAGCAATAAACCCTGAACCTGCACACTCCGGTACAGCAGGTGGCGCGATGCACCTGGTCACGTGACGCTGGTTGCGACCCGCCAGAACAAACCGGAAGAAGAAGAAGAAGAAGAAGAAGAAGCGCGGGAGACGCGTAGAAAGTCACCAAGCTTCACTTTAACGTCTTAAAGTGTCACATCGTGTGAGTATGTCCCGTGACACACAGCGTGTGTTTACTGTGTGTTTGTGTGTTAACGGGCCGTCAACCTTTGCAAAGTTCCTTTACCGTTTAGACGAAAAATACGGAAATCAAACGAAAATACGGAAATAACACCGTTTTATTTGAGTTTTTTCGCTGTAAACCAAAAGAGTAAATGTCCTTTTCTGTCCAAATCCAAACACGAAAAAACGACCGATCTGTTTGTCTGTAAATCCCTTTTTGTTTGTTCCTTTTAAAACGAAACCGAAGCGCAGCCGCTAAACCGGAAGTGCGCACATTTTAACAGTAAAACGCAATAGAACGTTTGTACGATAGAAAACCGTCTGTGACGCAACAATATCTATAATATAGCAGAGTAACATTAGAAGAATGAATATGAAACGTCATCGTGTGTAACAACAGCAGTTGACTACACGCAGACACACTTACATTCATCCATGTACACAGATACTCATTCATCTGTGCGCTGTTTGATGCAATATAGTTATTAATATAGTAACAACACATTTATTACTGTAGGTAATAACACAGTTTGTGGTGGCAGACTCGTTGCTGTTGGCTCTGATATTTATTTCCAGTATTGTTGTGTTGCTTCAGTGCTCAGAGACACTTTAAGGAGAGTAAACGTGTTCACATCTCCACCAACTAGGGGGCAGAATGCGACTATTTAAGCAGTGGTTCTCAGCTGGTCTGGTGGCTCCGGGGACCCACCATCATCTCTCAATGACAATCGACCCAAATCGAGGGACATCCTTCACTTCTCAGATGTATTTAATGAAGATATGGTGCAGTTTGAATCCTGAGAGCGTGTGGAGACAGAACACGTATGATCACACAAGAACAAGTTTAATGAGAAAACAGTCAGCTGGTAGCGACGCTAGAGAGGGAA